TGTGCATCTGGATTAATCAGCAACTCTTCTTAGCTCTACCTTCCAAATATATCTAGAATTGCATCTATCAATCCAAGCACTGCTCCTCACCTCCATTACCCGCTATCCTGGTTCAAATCATCTTCATCTCTTATAGGGTTACTGCACTAACCTACTTGCCATCGCCTGGCAATGAAAAACTATTAAAGTGCTGCTGAATTTATTTACTTAGGATTTTCACACTTATGTTTGCACTAGTAAAAATGGTTGGTAGTTTTTTTCTGCTTTTTATAATGCTCTAACTTTCGCATCAGGAATAAACTTCCCTCCTAGAATGAGTTCTTTCTCTAACTTCTGAAATACATACTTTATATTATGTAGAAATTATCTCCTCTTTAATGTTTAGTGGACTTACCCAGTAAAGCTTTTGGACATCATGCCATTTTAGGTGGTTTTCACTAATTTTTCAGATTTTTCATTGGTTAATAGTATGTTTAGATTTCTTAACTCTTCTTCAGTTTTGATAATTTATTATTTCCTCAAAATTGGCCATTATGTCCAAATTTTCAAATGTATTACTATACAGTATTTCCTATTAAATCATTCATAACCTCCGTGTTTATAGTTATATTCCCTTTCTCATTCCTTAACATTTGTATTTTACTTCTTGAATAGGTTGCCAAAGATAGTCTATTTTATTGATCCATTTAAGAAAATACCTCTTGCATTAATAATCACATCTATATTTTTAAGTGTCGATCATAAAGTTCTTCTCTTATTAATTCTCCCCTCTGCTTTTTAAAAAAAGTTTATTTTTGGTGTTCTAATAATGAATATAAGAATATAAATTTTCATCCTGTTTTAGCTTTATCTTCTAAGTTTGGTTGATTTTATCCCCACTTTACATTTGAGGCTTTGAAAAGTTATTTTATTAAAATATCATCCAGATAAATAGTGGCAAAGTAGGAATTCAAATCTAAATGCGATTTACACTGTATCAGACAAGCTCTTTTAAATGTATTATAACAAAAGGCACAGAGATGCATTCACACAAAAGGAAATACACCTATTTAAGTATGAAAAGATTCTTATCTCCTTTTTTTTTTTTTTTTAAAGATTTTTACTGGGGCGCCTGGGTGGCTCCGTCGGGTAAGCATCTGCCTTCTGCTCTGGTCATGATCCCAGGGTCTTGGGATCAAGCTGGGCATCGGGTTCCCTGCTCATCAGGGAGTCTGCTTCTCCCTCTCCCTCTGCCACTCCCCATGGCTTGTGCTCTCTCTCTCCGTCAAATAAATAAATAAAATCTTAAAAAAAGTAAATAAAGAGGTGTGTACACCTCTCCCTCTGCCTCTCCCTGCCCCCCTCCTAAACAAACAAACAAACAAACAAATAAATAAATAAAAGCAAAAGACTACCCCAGGAGAAACAATCTTTTAAAAGTTGTCATTCTAGGGACATCTGGCTGGCTCAGTCAGTGGAGTCTGTGGCTCTTGATCAAGCCCCACATTGGTTGTAGAGATAACAAAAATAAAATCTTAAAAAAAAAAAAAAGTTGTCTGTCTATAATCTTCCCCCTCTCACTTTGTTAAAGAACTAAAGATAAAAACAGAGAAACCAGGCAGTTGTGGCAGCCACGTGCCACTGATTTCAAGGCGACCTAATACCAGTGAAACCTAATTGAAAACAGTCACCAAGGGCTTACTTAAAATTCCCCATCCCAAGAAAGGGCACTGTTTCATTAAGTTAATAACAAATGCTCTGGGGAAATTAATGACATAGGATCCCAAATGCATATGGTGAGCAGTGGACGCGAGTTCCCTCTGTTTATGCAGCAGGGCCCTGTATTTCAAAATACACTGAGAAATTCAAGGAAACCAGGATTCACTAACAGAATTGAGCATTCTCTCAGTTTTATGAAATCACTAGACTGGATGTAGTCATACTGTTTACCAGGACAGGTTAAAATGAAAACATTGCAAAGAAATGTTGATTCCAATACAACAATTTGTTTCAGTCAACCTACAGACAAGTACACAGGTAAATTTCTCCTGTGGGAATGTCCACCACTCTGTTCCCTCATTGTTCCCTTTGGTCACCTCCTACTGAATCGGTGTTGTTGAACATCACTAGCTAGCATTCCAACACAGCACCTAACAGGAGAATTCTAACAACATTTACATTTACAGTATGCAGAGACAAGGAAATTCTACCCATAAACACCAAACCTAACATCATTCAAAGACAAACAAACATAAAAATAGAAGTCAACAAATAACTTCTCAACATATATAACAACATTAGAAAAAGAAGAAAAACTACCCAAAATACACAGGTGTGAGTATCATGCTAGTATACCCAGGATAAAGCTACTTTGAGATGTGAGAGGAAGAATATGTGCAAAATGAGTTTTAGGAAAGCTTTCAAAAAAATTAAAGAATTGTACAATAAGCCTCCTATCTTCAGGCTTCTGCCCTTGCTGTGCCACCTGCCTGAAATGTTCTTCCCCCAGCTCTCAGCAAGGTTCACGGCTTCACGCCCCTTCTGTCTTCCCTCAGTCACCTTCCTGGTGAGCCGTGCCTGGCTGCACATGCACACGCACCCAGCCCGACACCCAGCAGCCCGACACCCCACACCCAGACACCCAACGCCCCGCACCCCGACACCCTGATGCCTCGCACCCCACTGCCCTGCACTCTGCCGCCCTGCACCCCGCCGCCCTGATGCTCCGCACCCCGCCGCCCCGCACCCCGCCACCCCGCCGCCCCGCACCTCGACACCCCGCACTCTGGCTCTGTCTCTCCAGTGTTCATTATCACTGACCCACTGCACGTGTTATTTACTTATTGTGTTTACTGCCTCTACCCCATCACACTGATGGAAATACTGTGATGGGAGAAGTTCTGTCTAGTTTCTTCCTTGATGAGCCTAGAGGAGTGGGGATCAATTACTACGTGGTGACTGAATGACGATGTGTAATCAGAAAAATATAGCAGACTGCTCAGATATGCTGCTTTGTTTTGTTTTGTTTTGCTTTGAGTAGATTCCATGCCCAGTGTGGAGCTCAACGCAGGGCTCAAACTCATGAGGCTGAGATCAAGACCTGAGCTGAGATCGAGAGTTGGACACTTAACCGACTGAGCCACCCAGGTGTCCCAGGATATGCTGCTTTTAAGGCATTTGACATGGCATCTCACATTATTATTATGGGTGAAATTTCCATATGTAGCAATGCCTTATTTATTTAATAAACTGAAAAGGGGCATAGGAAAAGAACTTGGAAAAATTACTCAAATTTGTATCTTCAAAACAGAAACAGAATGTTAGGTAACAGAAGTTAAGACTGATGCTTTCCTCAAAAGTGTTGGGATGGTTCTAAACAAGATAAAATGGAGCTTAAATAAATACACAGTCCTATAGTTAAATTTATTTTTTAAAAATCTGTTGACAAAGGAGTTTTCTTGGTTTTCCTCATGTTACCGACTTTTCCTTCTGAATCTCCTTTGTGAACTTTCCCACATCTTTTCCACGAAACAACTGGAGTGTCCAAAGTTCAGTGCTCAGACCTTGTCTCTCCATAGACAAACTGCCTAAGTGATGTTGTTTCGTCCCATGGCATTGTCTACATGCTACAGACCCCAAATACATCTACATATCTAGCTACGGCCTTTCCTCTTGGCTCGACAGTATAAGCACTTGCTTTCTAAATATCTCCAATTTGATGTCTGATAACTCCAGTTTCACTTGTTCAAGACTAATGTACGGAGTTCCCAGCCTCACTCGCCAGCATTCATCCAGCTGTAGATTTCTCCGCACCACCTTCATTTATAAAGTGCATGGTGATACCTTGGAGATTCGAGACGGCAGCTCTGCTCACAGCAACACCCCAATGTCTTGTGACTCTGCCTGTGCCTGCCTGTCAGAATCCCCTCTTTATCTTCAAACATCCCTTTCTAGACTTTGCTGCTACTCCAAGTGGCTGCAAAAATTCCAGGCTGACCCCTCAAGCCCCTGCTATACCCTAAAGCACCCAGACTTGGGAACTTTCCAGTTGTGAGCTCTGTTAATAGTGGAGGTCTCCAGTAAAACCCTGAGATTTACAGAAACCTTAAGAGTCGGTAAAGGTTGCTATGGACAGAGGGAGTTCTGCCCAGTCTCCAGCAACGGCCCCGGTCATTTTAGAGATTCCTTTCTTCAGATAATCGAAAGTAAAGGAATATACCTATATATGTGATCCTACGAACAATACTTCAGTTTATATTTTATAATAGTGATGTCTTAGCTAAGACTGCATCAGATACAATTCAAATGATTATTTTCAATATTTAATCCACATTTAAGATCTTTACTGTATACAGAATATATAATTAAAATATTTTTCATATGTAATGAATTATAACTTTGTAGTACTAATAAGCACAGTTTGCTAAAAGCTTTCAGTACTCACGCCCCATAAGCTTTTAAGTTTGGTAAGTCTCTTAGAGTTAACACTAAGTAATTTCTCTTGCACACGAAAACAGTGTGTTTAATATTTCTAAAAGTACTGAGGCATGCCATGTCTTGAATACATAAGCGGTCACCTTTCGTTCTCCCACAAACAAGGTGCCTGAACTCAAAGGCAGGGTAAAGCTGCTTGCTGGGGGAGCGTGAGCGAGGCTTTTGCTCCCTGGCTGGAGCAGCCTGCCACCACATTGGGAATGCTTGTGTCAGTGTAAAAGAAGCCAGAAATCCAATCTTTACATGCAGTCTCTGTTTCTAATGTTGGCAACTCATTCAGAAAACCCCATAACCACGTGCAGGCCAAACAAAACGCAGCTGTTAGCTCTACTCATTTTGGGGGCCTCCAATTTGCAACCGTTCTCCCTACCGCCTTTACTCCATATTAATGAGCGATGCTCTGGAGCAGACACTCGGGTTTTGCCATTATTTTTCTAATACTTTAACATGTGCGAGCACTGAGAAAACGTATGCAAGTTATTTACTCCCTATACTGGGGTGGCAGAAATTATATTCACATGACTTACCCTGCTGACTTCCTTAGGAGCCGATTCATCTGGTGGAAGGAAAAGGAAGGGAAAAACACAATTAGAAACGCCGAGGAGGTTCTGAAATACAGAATATGTCATTCACTCTCAATAAACTAGAAGGCTATTTTGCTATGCTTTCTCTTACAAAATCTAAGAATTTGGCTTTGAACATCTATCAACTAAAGGTTAAACATAATAGAGTTAGATGTACAAATAAAGTTTGGAGGGAAACGAAATACCACAACAATTCACAGGCCATTTTCAAGATCGTCTTGTTAGACATTCTGAAATGGTAGCATCTGCAAGTAATATTCTAAATGATACAACCACATGAGTATCACAGTGACTGTGAACATCTGTTCTGCTGGGGTTAATTACAGCATTTCTTATTTGCTGGAGTAAGACACGACCCTGCACAGCATCCGGGCCAAGGCACGAAAGACACCTGTCCACAGGGCAGCTTTGTCCCATGGGTCCTGGGATTTGGGGGGCCGCCTATACCAGCTTGTCAGCAGTGTTTCCCATAAAGTGAGACCGATAGATGGATGGCACGCCTAGGTGTGACCCTCTGAAGGGGTCTCCCGGTGGGGCTGGCCACAGGACAACAGTACGCCCACATGACCAATAGGGCACAAGAAACAAACTGGCCAAGACTCCATTCTAGGTCACTGGTTCTGACCCAAAGTATATTTATGTGGCCCTTACAGACAGCGGCTGGGCTGGGCCTCTCCAGAGCCCTCACTGGGCGGCAGCCTTTAATTTAATGCTACCGCTATCTTGTATCTTCCTCATCAATCAAATCCTGTCTGACTACTACCATTAGTGCACACTTAACATGCCCCAAACCTCATGGATTCTGTGTTACTCCAAAGCACAGTCTAAGTTATCTCAACACTGACCAAAACATGTCTGTCCCACAAGTTCAAACAGGGGTGGGATTCTCCTTCCTCCTTCAATATCCTTATTAACCAACTGCTGATGCCTGTTTTCTTTTTTGCTAATCTTTCTCCAGTTTGTTGCCTGCCACCATTTCCACAGATAACACCAAGTCTAGTGCCAAATCAACCAGCAGCCTCCAAACTGGTCGCCCGCCACACACGCACATGCACACCGGCACACATGCATACGCATGCACACATCTACCCCGTCCCTCGGATGTTCCAGAACGTAAAGGAAACTAGATGTCCACGTTAGCTGCATAAATGACTTTACCTGGAGCCTTTCAGAAATTACCAAGTTTGGGACTATTGGAGAATAGATGTTCAATAAACAGTTCCTATTTTGGGGCATTATTGTATTAATACACACTTGCTTATATATTTTCTTCTAATTGTTCCCTAGTGACTCGAGTACTGCATCTCATTCCCCAGAATGTCCCTGAGCATGTTGGAGGAAAAGCACTTAACTTTGCCTTCCACTCTGAAGTCACATCATAGCAGAATTTCATCTACTCTCAATTCCCAACCCCTAACCTCTCCCAGACTGCCCCCAGAGATAGAACTATGCAATTTAGCCATTGCAACAAATGTATTAACAGATCCTAAAGTTACAGAGGCTTACATGTTCTTAACTTTAAGAAATGCAGTGAGCATGGCCACATGTCCCAGTGGATTAAGAAGCACACAATGAAAAGCAGTTGTACGAAGAAGTTTACTCTCAGGACTGATTGGCGCTCGGGACTGTGGCACTTTGGGACCTCCCACTCTCCACGGCCATCCTCAGATCTGAATGCTGGCTCAAGGGAAGAAGAATTTGAATGTCGAGGTATCTATAAATACATGTACCCTTTGCTTTTTCCTTTAGTTTTTGCTTGACACCTCTCAAACTTGAGTGTCCATAAGATACTCTACCAGTAGGTATTTATACATACTGAAGGTGTACTTACTATGTAATCTTCCAAGGGATTTTTTTCCCCATGAGCTGTTCTTCCTAAAGCTTTTAAAAATCATTAAAATGATGTTGAGATCGAAGATGCTCTTTTTTCTCTTTAACAGTCATAGACATTCCCTCTCTGAAATTAGTTTTTGTTTTTTTGTTTATTCATCCCGCTAGAATGTTAGCTCCTTGAGAACCGGGATACATGCCTGGCATATATAATGATCCCGTAGTACATATTTGTTGAATAAACAAATGTTAATTGAACCCCTAAAGCTGCATAAAAATTAGTGTCTGCTCTTGTGAACATTTTTGTTACTAATTTGATGCTCATGAATTATTCAAAATCTTGCATCCAAGACAATTTCTTACTTTGCCATAATTCCCAACATCTTTCATTTTAAAGCAAGTTTTATTGCTGAGCAAGATTTTATTAATGTGGTTCCAACAGTTCAGTCCCGAGTGTGTGCTGGAGGTATGGAGACCTTCCAGTCATGGGTTCTTAGAAGGAGACATTCTAAGCCTTGGGCTCTTAACCTGGAATTGCTAAATGATTTGCAAGGAGTTATGAACTGCATGAGGAAGATGGGATGATCTTTCTGCTCTGTTATTTTGAAAATGTCTTTGTGGAAAAAACTTTTTCAGAATCAAATTATATTGTCAGGATATTCTTTAAATCAAAATTAAGTACTTATAAATCTTTAAAGCTGTGCATATATTTGTACTTTTACTTTTGTGATGACTTTTGATAGTTCTTTGAATATGAAATGGGATTTCAGGAATGAATCCAAATATAATTAGAACATAAGGGAATTTATACTATGATATCTGATTTGAAGTTCTGTGGCTGCTTATCATGTTCTTCTTTATTCTGTGTTTAGCTTTGTGGCTTTATTACTCTTATGTTCCGAGAATATGTTTTGAACAATTTCTACTTTTTAAATTGATCAATCATTTCCTTAAGTTTAACATACATTTTTTACTACATCTTCCATGGACAAGTTTAATTTCAGTGCTTGTTCCATAGGATAAGAGAAGTTCAAGATTTTGAACTTGAAGATATTGATACTATGCATCCAAAGAAAAGACACAGTGACCAGAAGTGACAGAAATCAGTGATTTCTGGAAGGACTTCACTGTGCCTCTGTCTCGTAAGACTGTCCACTCACTTCACCTTGTGGGCTTTGCAGGTATTCTAATATTCCTAAGTAGAGCATATCTGTCTTCTCATTATGGAAAATATTTATTTCCCATGAAAATTAATATATGCAATTGGCCGTTGAACAACATGAGTTTGAACTCAACAGGTCCACGTATACATGGATTTTTTGGACAAATATGCTACAGTGCTATAAATGTATTTTCTCTTATGATTTCTTAATATTTTCTGATCTCTAATTTATTTTAAGACCATCATATATATATTAACATACAAAATGTGTTAATCTGTTTAAGTTATTAGTAAGGTTTCTTCTGGTCAACAGTAGGCTATTAGTAGCTAAGTTTTGGGGAGTCAAAAGTTACACCCAGAGGGGGGCAGGTCAGCACCCCTAAGCCCCGTGTTGTTCAAGGGTCAACTGTGCTTCCAGCTCCTGGGAGCTGGTGTGGCTCCATTCAGCCTCCTCCAGTCATTCCTGCATTCTGCAGGAGCTGTGGAGCTTGTCTAAAGACAGCTGTCTTCTTACAACAATGCACTCTTAAGATTCAATCCCCAAATATTTATCAAACATGTAATACGTGCCAGGTACTGAGTAAATGCCTCAGTTGGCCCAATCAGACTAAAGGGAAGGACTTCTGTTTCACGGCTTTGAGAGAACCACAAGCATAATGACTGGCCCTAGTGGGTGCAATCATCAGGGGAGTCAACCTGAAATCAGCCGACCTTGAAGCCTGCTTTACCTAGGAGCTCCTACGTATGTGAGAATTAATTCCCCTATTTATTAAGCCAATTTTACACGGTAAAACAAAAAACACTTCAAAAAAGCATGAAGGAAAGGTAACAAGATGTTACTAGGATATTACTTTTATACCACTAAATTAACACACTGTTACTTAAAAGTTCCAGAAAGCTCTTCCATTCCTACCAAGAAATTCCTTTGTTTAGGGTTTAAGTCCTCACAGTTTGGTTCTGCTCTATTTTTCCAACTGGAATATGCAACACAGGGGGACTCCCTTCCCAGTCCATAAGACTGGTCCTTCTAGAGCCTCAAACATGTTTTGCTAACTCTTAACTCAAAATCTTTATACCTTCAAACAACAATTATTGAGTACCTACTAAGTGCCTGGCACTATTCTAGGTGCCTACAATATATCTCGAACAAAAGGAAAAAACAATAATCCCTGTGCTCATGAAGCTTTATTCTAAACATAAACATGATAAAACTTGATTCTAACCATAAACATGATAAAACACTAAATTGTACAGCAAGTTCCCAGTGGTAAGTGCCTTAAAGTGGGAAACAAAGTGGCGCAGGTTAGGGAATCTCAGAGAGCGGTGGGGGAAGGGGTGGTCAGAATGCCTAGTCCACGTGGTGAGCTATGAAAGCAGCTCCCTGAGGAAAGTGCATTCCAGGCAGAAGGATTAGCCTGAGCAAAGACCCTGAGACTTGAGTGTCCCTGCTGTTTCTTGCCAAAGTTGAATCCTCCTCTTTTTCAGGAGTTAGCTCAGCTTGCATTTTGCCCGTGAGGCTCTCTCAGAGGCACCTGTGCGCATCCTTTCCTTAGAAGTCTCATATACTGCTCTCCTGTTGGGAAAGCAGACTGCTATAAAAAAAAAAAGGTAAGTGTGGAGTCCAAACAGATCTATTTTCAAATCTCAGCTTCACTGACAAGCCATAACTGGGTCCCTTGACCTTGCCAGACTTGGAAATATCATACTTACAAGAGAAGGTCAGGTCAGACGGTGTTAGGAGTAAATGGGATAATGTACATAAAGTTCTTGCACATGGTGAGCTGTCAGCAAACTGTAGTTTTGTTTCTCCCCATTCAATCTGGCATGAATTACATTCTGCCTTCTGTTGATAGCTACATACATGCGGGTGACTTAACTTCCTGACTCAACAGAAGTTCTTGAACACAAGAGATAACATCTAATATTTCTTTTCCATTACTGAACAAAAAGGCATTCCAAAAAAGGTTCTTGAATGATTAC